GCATCATAGCGAAACTGCACCCACCTCATTGCCGGCAATGGCAAAAAAGTTGTGATACGTTACGAGTTTGACACCCCTGGTCTAATGTAAAATGGAAATATTTTATTCTGTTCCTCTTTTAAATTTCTAGCTATCTATAATCAAACAAAAATATCAGTTTGAAATGAATTTAATCGGTAGTTAGGAATTGTCATTCTATATTTTATTTAACCTTGAAAAATCAAGCAATCAACACTTTTATTTTCATACTTTTTTGTTTCCTTGTAATTCAATAGTTCTCCTTTATCCATTCTAGATTCTTTTATGGCAGTTACTCCCCTTTGTTTATTTGTTTTGGACTGGGATTTACACATCTAGAGCTGGGCATCCCTTAAAAACAAGCAAAAAAAAAAAGAGCCAGTTCAGGGCCTTTACATGTGTGTTAATGTGTAAAAAAGGTCAAGGTCAAGGTTGTCCCTGTGATTGCACAATCAAAACCTGTTTAGGTATACTGCCCTGTTGACTGTTGGTTTTTTTGCCTTCCTCAGGATGCCCCAATTGATGCCCCAAAGATGTGCCAATCAAATCGTTCTAGAAGAGGCAAATCTCAACATATATTTTTTAAAATATATGTTTTAGGTAAGAACACATACAGATTTGTGTACAAAAAGCCAGTTATTCCTTGTGAAAATTAGGAGAAAAACAACAATCTATTTCCCTCTTGTTTTTCTCAGGTGATAGTCCAAACTATGCATTTGTATGCTTGGAGATATTCCTTCACTTTTTTTAAAATCCATTCTCCATTGCCTTCACAGTGGCATTATTGATAATCCATTTCATGAGGTACATTTCATACACAGAAAAGTCTGAAACTATTCATGGTAAGAATTTATATTATGTCATCTTATTTTCCCAATGAAGTCTTTGGAGATTTTCCACATAACATTGTACAACAATGGTTTTCTATAAACTGAGTCATTCAAAATCTTATATTCTGATTTTTCATAAATGTAAAAAGGAGGAGGGACATTTGTCAAGTAATTATTATAAAATTATTTATATTCTACTATTTCCCTAAGTTTGTCAGAGAGCAATATGTTTCTCTTCCTCTTTGTTCAGCATTTTGACATGAAAATCTCTTAAAGTTAAGCTGAAAACCATTAACTGACTGAAGGCCAAACAATAAGCTTCATGGCTGAATAGGGACTTGATTGCTTGTCACCCAGGAATTAATTCACCTTTATGGCAGTTCAACTAAAGAACAAAAAGCAATGTACAAAGTGGTATAGGGATATGGTAGAGGTAGGATGGTTTCTAAAGACATTAAGATTTGAAGACTCAGAGTAAACAGTGTTACTAATATTTTCTTTTCTTTTCCTTATCTCATGCTTTAAATGTCTCAATATTTCTTTCAGCACTGTTATTAATGTTGCATATACCAAAAGGGAATTACACAATGAGTACAGATAGTCCTCAACTTACAACAGTTTGGTTAGTGACTGTTCAAAGTGACTTATGATCATTTCTCACAGTTATGACCTTTACAGCATCCATGTGATCAAAATTCAGGTGTTTGGCAATTGGTTCACACTTATGACCATTGCGGTGTCCCAAGGTCATGTGATCCTCTTTTGTAACCTTCTGACAAGCAAAGTTAATGGGGAAGCCAGATTCATTTAATAACCGAGTTACTAACTTATCAACTGCAGTGATTCACTTAACTGAGGCAAGAAAGGTTGTAAAATGGGGCAACACTCACTTAACAAATGTTTCAATTAAGAACATAAATTTTGGGCTCAATTGTGGTCATACGTCAAGGACTACCTGTATATACATATGCATATTAATGATATTGCACACTGACTGTTTCTTCTAAGGATCACCATTAGTATAATTCCAAATTTGTCCTCTTATTATATATTAATGAATGCCATGTTGATAGTAATTTGAAATGATGGTGACAAAGGAATTTCCTCTAACCACAATACAGGTTGAAGTGTGCAAGTTTCACTGAAACCATGCTATTGGGGAATAGTAAGAGTCTCTTTTGCTCATTTGAATCTGCTGTTATTTATTTCCCATTACAACTGATGTTCTACATTACAAAAAGAAGAACCTGCATGCACAGAATCACCATCACATTTTAATTCACATTAAAAGCGAAACTAAGCAGGACATACTAGATGAAATTTTATTTTTATGTTATTTTTAATGCTATAGGAAACTCATCATAGTATTGTAATTCCTGGCCCACAGAACTATGAAGATGAAGACATAGATACCTAATTTTTAATTTAAGAAATAAGACAAAATAATTATGTTTTAAAATTGGCTCCCACCCATCTGACTTTCCGTTACAGCTTTAAGATCTGGTTCTCCCAATGGCTTTGGTCCCCAATTGGGGTGAGGGCTTCAAATGGGAGCTGATTAACTGAAAAAGTGCTAATAAGCTTCCCCGTCCCCTGTGCATCTGGCTGCTTCTTTCCATCTTGTGTCAATGAGTTTATTCTGTCTGTATTATGATTTTATTAGGTATATATTTATATTTGATGATTTTAATTTTTTTATGTTGTAAGCTGCCCAGAGTCACTTTGAAACAAGATGGGTGGCAAATAAATTTAACAAAATAATAATAAATAATAATAAAATCAGCATTTGGTAAGCAAAAGCACATTTCAAAACTGCAGGAGTTGTATTTTTCATTATATGGTGTTGTCTTTAACATTTGTAAGGTAACCATGGTTTTCTTTCACCCCTGCTCTTACTACCACCAATTACCCTAGAGCAGCTATTAGGAAGAAGAAAAAATAACAACATTTTTCAGGCTCATACATTATATTTTCAGAAATAAATGCAACAGTATCAATATTCCCAATGTCTACACAGTGGGAAATATACTATTATCATTCTTTTGGGCCAATATTGAGTAGTGATAGTGATCATCTTTTCATTTTCTATATGTTGACCATACATTTAAAAGTTTGTTGTGATTATATGTACAATATGTATATTCTTTGAAATACAATCTATATCCCTTGAAATATCATCTATATCCTTACATCTCAAGAGAAAGACCAGCTGACAGCATTTGAATTTTTAAGCAGTCCACAGTTGATGGCATTTAAATTGTCATTGGAGAGTAACCTTATGTTCTAAATACATCCAACTTATAATCTATATTTGATTATTGATATATATCTTCAGTTGTACACCTCAATCTTCTGACTTCCTAAATGGATATGGAGAAATAAGTTTAAAATCTAGACAAAATGAACATTTTTACCCACACCATGTTTTTGGAAATAATATTCAGTTACATAGGGAAAGGCTTATGAAATATTGCACATTAAAATAAAAAGTTGCATTTATGTGTGGCCTTTATTTCAGCATGTATTAGAAATCATTATATTTAGTCTTGCAACAGGTTTTATCTCTGGAATTACAAAGAGCCAGACTCCTGCTTTCAAAATGCAATTTAATCTTTCTACCATCCCCTTGATTGTTTTTCTATCTAATATTTCATTGCATTTATGTATAAGTATTCATTTTATGATAACATTTTAATCAGTTTGGCAGCAACATTTCTGTCACAAGTACAATTACCATTTCTGTTTATTTTAATTGTGTTGTGTTGTTCACATCTTTTATTCAAATAGCTGCAGGTTCAATTTGCATTCTGTGATATTTTTATCTTTTGTGGGTGTTGTTGTCAAGGTTATCAAATTCAGTATCTAATTTGCTGGAAGGGGGGAGAAATCAGTCTGCCATCCCAAAATTTTCCTTACAAAGAATGAGATTTAAGGTTTGTATTGCAGTATATTATTAAAGACTGCCATTATGTTCAACTCCTTAAAGCAGATTTTTAAAGCAATGTGGCAAAAAGTATTGCGAACTACATGTGTATCTTTCTTAGTTATATTATTTCATGCATTATTTGAGAATTAGTAATTGAAATTTAATAACCCTGCAATGTATACATACAAGGTATCAGAGTTAAGGGTGTGGGTCCAGTCTTAACTTTGTCATTTTCTTATTTGATTGTTTATTCACGCACCCTTCACATTCCATTTATGTAGCTGCTTGACTGTAGTAAAAAAACAATGTAGAAAATAAGGATGCTGGCTGATGAAGATTTTATCTGCTTTCTGAAGTACAGACATGGATGACTGTATCACATTCACAATAGCACACTTCAAATATTCAAAAGTGGGAAGGTGCTAAGGATTTTACCCTACAACTGAAGTATTTGTATTTCCTTAGAAATTAATAAAAGAATCTAAGCATCATTATGTCAATAAAATAGATACTATGTACATTTATCCATTTTGATGAACTGCTTCATTAAATGAGTCAGTAAAACAGTTTGAGCAGGGACCATGTCAAATCTGAGCATTTAATTTTTCCTTGCAGTTTAACCTTCAGGGTTGTTTAGTAATCAGCCAACCAATAACAACTTGAAAGTATTTGAGTTAATTCCATCAAAAACATTGTCTACACAAATTGTATTAACAAGCATGAATTAGTGCAGATGTATGTTTCAATTAGATTTTTCCATTACTATATCCTGAAATACCCAAGCTTTATATAGCATTTCTCAGAAATCAGAAACTATCTGTCCTTTTTAGGTACTTTTAATCCATGAGAACTTCCATACAGCCAGAATTCCTCACTCTATTTTCACAGATGAATTTTTTTGAGAAATTATAAAACAAATATTGATCCAGAATTAGCTGAAGCAAAACAAAGATACTGTACCAGTTTCAGCTTCAACAAAGTGGGGTAACCCAAGGCTCTTCAATATCTTCATCAATGATTTATATGAGGGGACTCATCAAATCTGCAGACAACACCAAACTGACAGGCATAGCCAACAATCCAGAAGATAGGTTTAAGATGCAGAAAGATTTTGACAGACTTGAACATTGGGTGCTATCTAACAAAATGAAATTCAATGGTGAAAAAAGTAAGCTTCTACATTTAGGCAAGAAAAAACAAATGCACAGGTATAGTATAGGTGGTACCTTGCCCAATAGTAGTAACTGTGAGAGGGATCTTGGAGTCCTAGTAGACAATCACTTAAATATGAGCCAGCAGTGTGCTGCAGCTGCCAAAAAAAGTCAACACAGTGCTAGGCTGCATTAACAGAGGGATAGAATCAAGATCACATGAAGTGTTAATATCACCTTGGTAAGACCACACTTGGAATACTGCATCCAGTTTTGGTTGCCACAATGTAAAAAACATGTTGAGACTCTAGAAAGAGTGCAGAGAAGACCAGCAAAGATGATCAGGAGACTGGAGGCAAAAACATATAAGGAACAGTTGCTGGAATTGGGTATATCTAGTTTAATGAAGGACGAGGGGGAACATGATATCAGTGTTCCAACATCTCAGGGGTTGTCACAAAGAAGAGGGAGTCAAGCTATTCTCCAAAGCACCTGAAGGCAGGACAAGAAGCAATGGATGGAAACTAATCAAAAAGAGAAGCAACCTAGAACTAAGGAGAAATTTCCTGACAGTTAGAACAATTAACCAGTGGAACAACTTGCCTCCAAAAGTTGTGAATGCTCCAGCACCGAAGTTTTTAAGAAGAGACTGGACAACCATTTGTCTGAAATGGTATAGGGCTTCCTGCCTTAGTAGGGGGATAGACTAGAAGACCTCCAAGGTCCTTTCCAACTCTGTTAGTCTGTTAAAGTACTTCAAATATTTTTTTTCTATTTTTATATTTCTTCTCAGTAGAAAGTATAATAAACAATAAGCCAGGAAAGTCCAAAAATATTTGTTCTGTCTTGTAACCAGTTGCACTGGGCTCCCATTTTACTTATATCTTCTATACATATAAATCCTCCCAGCAGGAAATGAATTAAGATTCAGAATATTTTTTTCCTGAATTTTTAATTAACATGTTTTGGGCTCCTTGGGAAGTAGTATGATAGAAATAAGGGAGTGGAAATCAAACTATTATTTTGTTGTTATTGTTTTTTTAAACTACCTACTTCAAAATGGCAGTAATTATATTCTTTCTAGAGGCTAGAGCAGTGTAAATGGAAACATTTTATTTGTAAAAAAACATTTTTTGCAGTGAATATGGGGTATGTCTTTAAAAAAATAGATGTCTGAAACTGATAGATCTTGGGGAAATTGTGATAGTTACTCATCACCAGCCTTTGCCCTAGGCCAGGGGTAGGCAACCTCAGCTCTTTTATGACTCATGGACTTCAACTCCCAGAATTCCTGAGCCAGCATGGCTCAGCTTGGAAACTCTCCCTTTCCCCTCAGCATGGCTGACTCAGGAATTCTGGGAGTTGAAGTCCATGAATCATAAAAGAGCCGAGGTTGCCTACCCCTGCCCTAGGCAAACATTTTTCCCTTTCTTTCTCCTCACTGTCCTCATAGCAATGGTTGCTGTATTTCTTCTCTTCACACTCAAAAAAGGTCCCATTAAGTTGCAAAATATCCAATCACTTGCTGCCTCCCAGCAATCACCTTTCATTCACAGATAACATTAAACTTTTAACAAAGGCATCTCTTAGATATTCCTCCTTTAAGATCTAGCTTTTATAATAAGCACTTTGATATCATCTTTCTGCCTAATCACACCAAGGTGGAAACTGCCCTCCCACCCAAGACAGAGTATGTTATATTGCATATATTAAGAAAAAAGTGTAAGCAAGAAATTCACTAAAAATAGAGCTTGCATTTGATACAAAGAAATTACTGAACTTCATTTGTAATATCCATTCTCTAAAATCACTGGAGATTTTAAAAAAGAGGCTAGACCAGTGATGGTGAACCTTTTAGAGACCAAGTGCCCAAACTGCAACTCAAAACCCACTTATGTATCAGGTGCTGGGTGGGCGTGGCCCAGTGGGTGGGCGTGGCCCATTGGGTGGGCATGGCAATGGCAGACTGGATGGGACTAAAAAGTTCAATCAATCAATTCCAACTTTGTGATATCTTTTTATTTCCTGTGAGAAGTTGAAATTGATTGATTGATTGAACTTTTTTTTTTCACATGGTGGCGGAGGCCTAAAGCGAAAAGGTTTATAAAACCCAGCTGAAGGCCTAGGACTGGGGCGACGGCGCATGTGCCCACAGAGAGGGCTCTGTGTGCCACCTATGGCACGCGTACCATAGGTTTGCCACCACGGGGCTAGATAGTCACTTGTCTATAATTGTTTTCAAATACAATTGCACTTCTGATGTTGCAGAAGCAGTGTGTATTTCCAATGTGACGGATACTAGAGAAGGAATAGGCAACATTTTGGGCACCAAAGGCCACAATGCACATTTAGAAGAAGAGCTATGGACTGCGAGCAGTAGCCCACATGAAAATCTGTATGTCATTTTAGATTTTTGCATAAACTTTTGAAGGGTTTCTTTGATTTTAATTTTGAAATATAGTACATATGTATGGATTATACTATGTTTGCTATGTTAAAAGATGGGAAATAATGCTATTAGTTTTCAATTTCAGTATTCAGGGCTCCTTTTTCTTATATATACTCATTTATTCCAGCAACACTAGAGCAATAACATTTTAAATTGAATTGATCTCCAAATTTAATGTACATTTTATGGATGTTTTATATGCCAAATATTCTATACTTAGCTAAAATGCCATAAGACAGTTGTCACTGGACTTGATGTCCTTTAAGTATGTGGTATTCAACTCACTATATTTCCATTAAAGTCACTTGGGAGAGTATCAAAAGCAAAGAAGGCTATGGTACATTTATACGGTAGTCAAGTAGCAACATTAATTATGGAGATAGATGAAATTGTTTATCAGGGTATTTATAGCAATGAGTCTTATCAATTAAATATCCAGAAGAGAAATATTGTCATCAAGTTTGCATGAAACAGATGAATAGTATTATTAGCTTTAGAAATCCATGCAATTTTTATTAATGTTCTTATTAATAAATCAGCTTTTTGTGCCTTCAATAGAACCATTTTTGTTAAAGCATCTTATTTATTATCAGGGATTAAAAAGGGAAAAGATTTAATGTAGTATATAATTTAGTCCCTTATTTTGAAGTGTGCAATTTATTTTACATAGGGATGGAAGCTAAAGTTGAAGTCCATTCAACTTTAGAGTTGCAACAAGATAATCTTGCCAGCTGCTGTCTCTATGGAAACTACACTAAAAGAGCTTTTTTATTCTTTCTTTCACTTAAAGCAGCTGGAAAAGTAGTGCCGTGCAGAAGTCCAGTAGAAGACAGTGGGGGGTATTTTTAGATAAGAGTGACTTGAAGCTGCAGCAGTCCTAAAATTAGTCTTGCTTCTTAATCAGAAACTTCAGAATGTATTTTTTTCACATTAAAGTTCTTGAATAGCAAGAATACACATTTACTTAAGATGTTTCCCATCATTCTTTTACAATCTTCTTCATACATATTTTGTTTTCTCAGATTTGATAATGACAATCCTCTATGGTACTGAAACATGGCCAGCAAGATGATTAGGTAGCACCCACACACTCGTATTCATATATAGAATGTCAACTAGGGCATTTGTGCTTCAGAACAAGCCACACTTTGTCCATATTGTGCTTCTATGTTTTGAATGAAAAATTATATTTGAACATTTATAATTCTATGCAGAATGGGAATTAATCCATGAGTAGAGGTTTTGTAGATTCTTAAACATTATTTCCTTGTTTCTTTTGTGAATTATTTTATATATTAAGAAGGACTACAAATATTCATCACACTACATTTTGTTTACACGGTATTAGAGAAAAGTCCAGTTTAGAGAAAAATGTTCTGAGAAAATCTTTACATTTTATATTTCAGCAATTATATGCAGTTCATAAACTGACTTTCTGAGGCAAAATAATGTGGAAGTGTTGTGCCATTGCCTTTCTTCCAAGATATGTTTATGTGTTTATGTTTGTGTGTGCTTAATTTTTCAGTCTGGTCTATAGTAATTGATTTTGCTGATAATCACCCATACACTATTAACCAGATCCAGTCTTACTTCATTTACTTCTGAGATTAGCCAAGTTCATTAATAAACCATATAATGCCATCCCAAGAATTATTGACATCAATTCAAAATAAATGCAGGGAAGAGATTACCAGATTTACAATCCACTATTAGGAGCTTCATAAATATTTAGGCAATATTTACATAATTCTGGATTATTTTATGGAAAAAAACATATAACCAGACAGACTAGAATCAGCTTGGCAATATATGACTTTCACATATTGTTGCACTGCATCTTCCAGGGTTCATCATCCATAGTGATATTAGGCAGAAATGAGATTCGATAGTGGAATGCCACATGTTGTCCTATCATAATGTGATTTTCAGAACCTCAGTCTTTGTTTCCTTTCTTTAGTCCCTGATTATTATAATATCACTATATCAGTGTCATAAACAAAGCTGTTTTCTTCCCTAACAAGTGACATAGCAGTGAACTATAGTAAGGCTTCCATGCTTAGTAGCCAAACTTAATCAGATATATTTTATCTGAAATTCCATTTCAACATGAGGTATTTAATTATGATACAAAACATTTAAGCCGTCATCACTCTAAACACTGTCTTTTCAAATTAAACAATTATAACTAAATATTTCTCACCAAAGTCAGATCAAAAACTACAAAAGCACATCAGTAATAAGGATTAATGGACATCTCAGGCTGTAATAAATGGCTTATTAGCCAATGGAGATTGCATAACTGAATGAGTTCCTCACCTTGATAAACTTTTGTGGAGTTTTTCTGCTGAAATCATAATAATTAGAGCTACTTTTCAGAAAATTTCTGGGTCCACAGGTACTGTTTCAATTCTATCATTCACCGAAAGTACAATAGAAGGCAAACAATAGAAACATGGTGCCACTAAATGCAGAGATGGCATTTTTTTGAATCTCTATTCTGCAAGATTCATTTTGCTCTTTACTCTTTGATTTCTGATTTCTGCCCTTCCTGAATAATACTGATATGGAAGTAATAGCTATATTACAGTGACCAGGATATGTAGACTTGTTGGAATTGATCTCATTCTGCACTTCACATAGGGATTTAGTGGATTAG